AACTTCAACTGCTGGCAGAAGACAACAACAAAAGAGGACAGATGAATCTCGCTGGTGGGAGAATTCCAGAAATCTGGTGCCACTACTGAGAAGGCCCTCTTCTGGATTGCCACCTGCCTAATCTCAGAAGCCAGGGACACTCAAAGCAGGTGCTCTGAAGCTGACCACATTGGTCAGGTACGTTCATAAGAGAATAGGTGGCCCTTCAGGTATGTTGGTCCCAAACCACATAGGGCTTTAAATGTCAGTGCCAGCACATTGAATTGTGTTCAGAAACAAACTGGAAGCCAATGTAGATGAGCTAAGACTGGAGTGATATGGTCCCTGTGACCCCACCCCAGTCAACATCCTGGCTGCAGCATTCTGTGTCAATTGAAGTTTCCAAACACTTTTCAAAGACAGCCCCACATAGAACGTATTGCAGTAATCTAATCTAGATGGAACCACCGCATGCACCACAATGGCAAGATCTTTTCTGCTCAAGAAAGGCTGCAGCTGGCTAACCAGTCAAAGCTGGTAAAAGGCACCCTGACCACAGCTGCTACCTGCTAGCAGTCCTAAAGGTAAGATGAGGGCAGGCAGCATAATGCATACAATCACATGAAACAGAGTTGGGGTGAAATAGGCCACAGCAACAGGAGCACTGGCACAGCATAGGGCATAGATCCAGGCATGTAGGATGTTATAGGCAAAAGCTAGCACTTCCAGTAGCGCTCAGTGACAATTATTATTAATGGAGACTTTTCAATATTTTGAGATGTGTACCAACCAGGTGTACCAGTGAGGAATTGCTACCATTCTGAACCAGCTGAAGTTTCCATGTAGCTGTCGGTGGAAGCCCTGTGTAAAATATTTTGAAGAAATGTATCTGAACATTATTAGGCATGGATAAACTTTGGGAAGGCTACAGAATTGCAACTGGTGCCTCAAGCTAAACTGGAAAAATTCGGTTTTTCATGGAAGCCACTTGGACATCCAAAGTAGGGGCTAGATCTCATAATACTTATAAGCTGTGATCATTTAAATGGCGTGCAGCCACCTCCAAAACAAGTTGAATCCATTTCATAAACCCATTTCAATTGCCAATCTACAGTACTCCTGTTTTGTTTGAATTTAGAATCAGATTTTTGTTGTTGTTCAGTCGCACAGTTGAGTCCGACTCTTCGCGACCCCATGGACCACATCACGCCAGCCCCTCCTGTCTTCCATCGTGCTCTGGAGTTTGCTTAATTTCATGTTCGTTGCATCAGTAACACTATCTAACCATCTCATCCCTTGCCATCCCCTTCTTCTTTGACCTTCAGTCTTTCCCAGCATCAGGGTCTTCTCCAGTGAGTGCTCCCTTCTCATTTGGTGGCCAAAGTATTTGAGCTTCAGCTTCAGTATCTGGCCTTCCAGGGAACAGTCAGGGTTGATTTCCTTTAGGATTGACTGATTTGATCTCCTTGCAGTCCAAGGGACTCTCAAGAGTCTTCTCCAGCACCATAGCTCAAAAGAATCTATTCTTCGGCGCTCGGCCTTCCTTATAGTCCAACTCTCGCAGCCATACATGACTACTGGGAATACCATTGCTTTGACCATGCGGACTTTTGTTGGCAGGGTGATGTCTCTACTTTTTATCATGCTGTTGAGGTTCGCCATCGCTTT